TGGGGAGGAGAAGAGGGGGATGATAGCTGGGTTTCTTTCGGTGGGGACCTGAAGCTTCCGGGCGGAGAAGGCGCTTTTAAAATTTCCGATGGGAGGGGGAGGGGCGTGAAGACGCCACTGGTTACAGTAGGTTTTATACTATTTTCTACACAATTTTTCTATTTCGTAGAACGTTGAATGGTCACCGCTATGTGACTGTAGGACATTGAATGGTCACCGCTATGTGACTGTAGGACATTGAATGGTCACTGCTGTATGTGACTGTAGGACATTGAATGGTCACCGCTATGTGTGATGTAGGACATTGAATGGTCGCGTATATGTGACTGTAGGACATTGAATGGTCACCGCTATATGTGACTGTAGGACATTGAATGGTCACCGCTATATGTGATGTAGGACATTGAATGGTCACTGCTGTATGTGACTGTAGGACATTGAATGGTCACCGCTATGTGTGATGTAGGACATTGAATGGTCGCGTATATGTGACTGTAGGACATTGAATGGTCACCGCTATATGTGACTGTAGGACATTGAATGGTCACCGCTATATGTGATGTAGGACATTGAATGGTCACCGCTATGTGACTGTAGGACATTGAATGGTCACCGCTATGTGACTGTAGGACATTGAATGGTCACCGCTATGTGACTGTAGGCCATTGAATGGTCACCGCTATATGACTGTAGGACATTGAATGGTCCCTGCTTTAAGAAGTTGGGTCAAGTTAATAAAAAAGGTAAAAAAGGCCCCAAGTTCTAGAACCACTGATTTAGGTAGCAGTGAAAAATAAAGCTATTTTTAGCCCCAAAACGTGATGTCATACCTGGCTACCCCAAACCGCAAATATATGCGAGCCAGTCACGCGTGACGTAGACGACACTAAATTTAAACTCGTCCTTCAAGTGGGGGTGTCAACACAAAGCAAGTAGGAAGGGCTTTTTGTTACCGATTACGTCACCATTTGACGTATTCCCAGCGACTATAAATTTCTTAACTGTAACTGGTTTACACAAAAAAAAATACTGCACAGATTTTTGAGCCATTGATTTTAAGTTTAAGATCGTGCGCATGTGATTGAACCAAAATGTCACACTTGTTTACGTCCTACCCTACCCTACCCCACCCCAAATAACGCGAGGTCTATAGTACATTACTGTATTCAACTGTAGATTATGGTACATGTAAACCCGTGCCCCTCCCCCACCCAAGACTTGTAATAATTAAACTCGATGATAGTAGGCCTAGTAACCCTAGTATTGTAAGAGAAATCACATGTTGAGGAGTATCAATGATATCGTATGAAACGAGAAACACATGTCCGCCATTGGTGTCAAACTTTCCATTCAACCATGTCCAACCAAGTCCAACAAAGACAATGTAACATTTTTATAACCGTCAACTTTTTCATTAACCATTTCTAAGTACAAGACTTTATGTAGGGAAGTCAAACAAAGGTAATATAACATTTTTATAACAGTCAACTTTTTCATTCAACCATGTCTAAGTACAAGACTTTATGCAGGGAAGTCAAACAAAGACAATGTAACATTTTTATAACAGTCACGGTTTCTTTCAGACAGTTTGGTGGTGGTGGGTGGGTGTGTGTTAAGTACTTATATATTTTTAATTTAAATTATATTTCCTTTTTCGTGCACCGGGGGGGGGGGGGGGGGAGAAGAGACACATCACCCCTTTGTTTTTTAAATGTGCTTTGCACATTTAGCACATTGATCTATTCTAGAGCTTATACGACAAGACACAGTGGGCGACACGTCAAGTTTGGGAGCGACAAGTCTTGTGACGTCATCCACTGATGTCACACCCGGAGTTGATCTGCGAACACATTTCATACAATGCATAGACCTGAATTTTTGCCAGATCGAACGGTAAAAAAATGAAATGGAGCAAGACTGTTAATCTACCGTGTCGGTCAGACGACCACACATTTTTTTTTTTTTTTTTGCTTTTTCAGTATTTCTGTTCTCCCGTTAAATATAATCGTTGGCAATCTGTTACAATAATACATCATTAAAATTGATTTAAACTTTCACGTCGTTGGCTATAATTTTATAACACTCATATTCTGCTGGTTTCTTCGCCATTACTGTAGCAGGTGAACAACTAGAGTACCTCCCCTTGATCCTCCCCTCCCCCTAATTATTCCGGTAATGAATACATCAACTAAGACCAGGAAGTTGGCACTAATTAACTTCTCCTCCTTTACCATGAGCCGAGATTTTCCTCGAGATTTAGAGAGCAACACAGCTCAGATGTGACCTAGGGGCAGCAGCTTCAAAGGCCGACTACAAGCGTTTGGTTTGACCTACTTACAGAGGCGTAGCGAGGGGGGGGGGGGGGGCGGGGGGGGGGGGACATATGTCCCCGGGCGCCGACCTTAGGGGGGGGGCGCCAAATTGAAAGTTTGAGGGGGGGGGGTGTAAATGAAAAGTTCGAGGGGGGGGGTGCAAATCGAAAGTTTGAGGGGGGGGGGTGCAAATGAAAAGTTCGAGGGGGAGGTGCAAATCGAAAATTTGCTCCCGAGGGGGGCGCCAAATTGAAAGTATGTCCCCGGGCGCCGGGAAGGGTCGCTACGCCTCTGCCTACTTACCAGTTCAGCAATCTCTTACAGTTTACCATAGCTATTTCGTCATCAATGTGTGAGTGTGCCACAGTCTATAGTTGAGCCTGTATAAAAGGGGAAGCACTCTCACCTTGTTAGTAACAGGAAGATAAATACACCATACGCACGCATGCTATATTTTTAAAAGGTACACTTAAAAAAAAACTATTGTTTCAGTTTTAAAGAGGAAAAACTCGCCGATGGAGTTACTATTGTACAGTCAGTGTTGACTTTTGTTTGGAGTCCTTATGTTAACTTTTTGCCTGTTGTATGTTAACATTTGCTACGTAGACAGTTTTTTTTTTCAAATACAGGTCCGCAGTTACAAAAGCAAGGGGAAGGGGTGAGTAGAAGGGGGGGGGGAGAAGCAAATATTTCTCACGAGTTATGACCAGGCTGTGACCAGAAGACGCACAGTTATTTATAGATAAGGGTTACCTCGCAGAGGGCCGGAAGTTCAAGGTCAAAAAGTGAGCAGGGAGGGAGGGAACATTCCAGAAATCTCATCCTGTCGGTGCTAGAAACATATCGACGTTCGTATTCTAACCGCCAATGTTAACGGTAACCAGATTCTAACCCAAACATAACCATGAGGATATTTTTTTTATCGTAAACAACGTCACATTCCAAGGGAGGGGGTTCAGAAAGTTCAGACATTTTTTTATTTAAAAAAAAAAGCAATGTTAAAAACTGATTTTTGCCGTTATTTCGCGTTTTAAAAAGGCTGTTATAGTGAATTGTAATAGCCTAGAAATTAATACATTGATTAATGTAGCCTACTCAATGTTGACCTAGCTCAGAAAGTATTTTTAGAAAGAAATCAATGTTTGGAAAAAAACCAACAGCAATGTGGAGGCTGAGTTGTGACGTCATTTTAAGGGGTGTGGGGTCTGGCTTTTTGTGACGATGTGAAAGTGGAGGTAAAAAATGGTCTAAAAACAGCTTGATCTCCTCAATTATTTATGATCATGATGCCAGTTCTTTAAACTGTAAGGAGCGTGGGGACAATCGTGATTTAAAATAGTTAAAACACCGTTTTAAAAAGGTTTGTGTTGAGAGAATAATCCGCGAACACTATGTGATATTTAACGTGATCTACACTACAACGACCCGTGTTTTCGAGTGGGCGCCATCCCGGGCAGATAACCCGAACAATTCGTGCTAGTCAACACCCACACCCCCACGTTATCTGCTTATAAAAACATGAACCGGCGCAAACAAGTGGACGCTTTCAGTACATCAACAGGCGGTCATGGGACCGAGCAGGAACTAACATACAAACCTGCGGCACTTGTCGTCTGGTGGTGTGTTCAACACAGACCCACACTGTGTCAGTCTGGTGGGGGGGGGGGGGGGGGGAGAGGAAAAAAAAGCACCACACATTACATAACATGCCAGGAATTACCTAAATGTGTTTAACCGAATAACCCAGTAAACAGTGACTTTCAGATGTATGTTTGGTCTAGGTTTTTTTCTTCATCAGCGATGCGCGGCAATGGAAGACCAATGTGGTCAGTAGCGGCTGACACACCACGAGAATGATTGATATGGGAGAAAGGGAACTAACCGATACCGTTACTTGAGTGATCCCGGTAACCAAGGGGTTCCCACCTCGCAATATTCCAATATTCGTATAATGGCCCCTGTCGGAGGATTAAAAAAAATTCACCTTAATGTACGTTTCTTTATGGGGGGGGGGGGGGGGGGGGAGGGGGGAAGGGGAGAAAAGGAGGACGTGCAACCCACGTTAGCAAAGACAGTACTGACCACTTGACCAGTGCCAAGTGTGTGTGTGTGTGTGGGGGGGGGGGGGGTCAGATGAACACAACTCAGCACCACCCATGGACACAAAGGCCTATGGATACATGGTTTCTTACCTGGGAACCTGCATGTGACATCAACCTACCACCTGTGTCATGATCACGGCATATGTAGGGATAGTGTGGTCAGCACTATGGCGGCCAGCAACCTTTACTTTCCCTAGCATGAGTTAGGTACCAATCAGACCTGGGTGGACTTAGGGACGTTCTAATGATTCTTTTGACTATAACCCAGATTCGCGGTCCCTTAAAAGCATACTAAATACTATAAAATGAGATAATTTTCTTTTTCGAAACAATTTTAAAATAGTTTTTTAAAAATAAATCTAGTAGTCAGGGGAGGCTAGTCATAAAAAAATACGTAGGAGTTAGCTGCCGTAATCACTTCCCTTTATAGTGCAAAATTTTATTATTTTCTCTTATTTTTACCTCTAGATCTAACTTGAATTAAGTTAAAGTAAGAAACTATGAAACCATTGTTCAACGATTAGAATAAAACAATTTAATGAAATAAAGCTGATTAGTTGAATGTAGCTGAGACAAACAGCACAGTGAATAAGTAGGGCAACTTTAAACAGTAATACAAAACAAAATTTAAGTTTCAGTTTTATTATTGTCATTTAATAAATTATAAAAGTATATGCTGACCAAAAAACGTGATCAGCATTAATAATGATGTTCAGTAACTATTGAACCTCATTAAAACATTGACACACTTCATTCGTTTTTTTGAACCTGACAAAAAAACTGGGCAAATTTTTTATAAAGATTTCTCAGCACCTTCTTTGGCCAGCCGATCAGCAGATTCATTGGCCTGATTTCCACAGTGACCTCTGACATACACCTGGAGGTAAGTCACACAGATAACAGTTATACATACACATCATATATTTTAAGATGGTATGGATTAAAACCAAAAGCTGCATAAGGATAGTAAATAAAGTTGGTTTAACTTTTAAAATTCTGTTTACTTCAAACAATGTGTTAAAACTGGAAATGTTCCTAAAAATTATTTGATAGGTTGGTCAATTAGCAGACAAACATATTTCAATGTTTTACATTAAATGTTTTATGAATGAGGGATTCAATAAATACCTTCAGATGACACTAGTACTCGTATTTATTATTATAATTTGGTATTAATAATTCAGCTTTGTATCTGTGGTAATTAGTGTAATCAGCTATTATTGTTGGCAAAATGACTATTAAAGATTCAATTGTTAATCTGCTGAATGGTTGCTTAAGTTTGAGAAATGTAAATGATCAGCAATTCTGTAAAATCAACACTCATTTCTTACCTTAAAGATTTTTCTCAAGTATTAATAAGAACTGTTTAAATGATAAAATATTATTCAGTTAAAATTGTCAGGGGAGGTAATTTTAATTTGTTCAACGTAAACCTTTTTATTGATGATTTGAAATTTATTATTCTGTCCCCTATCTAAGTGGACTGTTGGAGCGCCACAAGGGTCCTCAACATTTATAATGGACAGTCAATACTTTTTCTATTTAATTTCATGAGATTAATATTTGAATGTGATATATTTTACAATTCCAATGCAACAAAACATCCATTAAAGTAATCTTACAAATAAGTATTTGCTAAATTCTGCAGCCTATATGTCCTACATCTTTTACAAACTTTTGTATCCTTTTAAAGATTAGTTCAGATTTCCAGCCCAAAATAGCCAAGAAACTTTGCAGCTCAAGATGGAACCTTACCCATTTGACATTGATATTTTTTAATTGCTTGTCGAGTTCCTCAAAATCCTCCTTGTTTACAACAGGGCTCCCAGTGGTCTTGGTCCACTGATTCCTCTTCCAGCCCTTGATCCACTTGGTTATTCCTAGACAAGTTTTTTTTATCAGCAGTCAATTTAAAACAAAAATAATGTGTTTTATAGAACTGATACAATATATTACTATGCCACATTGGCTTTATTTACCAACCATTGATCAAAAATTGACTATCAGTGTGGAGAATTAAATTCTTAATTCCTTTTTTCTTGGCCAGTTGAACAGCACGTACAGCTGCCTGAAAATCAAGAGGTAACAGATGATGGTAGGCTACAGCAGTTTCCTGTGACAAGCAAGTGAAAGCACTCTGAATAATTGTCATATCATTGCCAGAGTTTTTTATCTTTATGTGTTGATGCAAAGAAATGCAAATCTAACAATGTGAAAATGAACCTCTACAGCAACTTTTACCTAATTATTTCTCATGGATTGGTTAGTATTTTTTACTCAGAAAATTTAAGTGTTCCATTAAAATATCTTACATAAACTGACCAAACTGGATTACTGCTCTTTCTAAAAACAAAACTACTTACATGAATTTCTGCCCTGTTATTTGTTGGCCGACCTGGCAATCTTTCACTTACATTGCTAGAAAATATTTTAGTTACTTTTATAAAGTTTGCAAACAAGTATAATAATTCAGTAATCCTAAATTTGTTATAGAATAGTGTTTAGGTAGCCTATACTATGCAGACATGGGGTAGGATAGTTTCAGAGAATACAGGGCTGACTTGCATTCAATTTGCATTTCATCTTTTTCGTTTACTCAGCTTTAATGGGAGCCTGACTGTTATGAATGGTATCTTAGGCATGCAAGGGTATGAATGTATGTAGTAGAATGATTTATATTAATAAAAGAATAGGACTGTGTGACGTGGTAAGTAAGGATGTGACATTTGAGAGTATGATCTTGTTGTTAGGGGAAAGATGAGTTTTTGTCCTGTTGTGGTAAGGTGTAGAGGTATTTGTCTGTCGTTGTGAATGTAGTCTTTGTATATGTTGTGAAAATGGTCGTCTGTGTGTATTTAGCCATGCAATAAACCATGGAATGTACCAATGTTTTGTACTGACATGTCTTGGTTACAGAAAGCTGACATGTCTTGTGGCAATGGAGTGGCAAAAAGACAATCCAGAGGGCTTTACTTACTCAGGATCATCTGGAGCCCAAAAGACACCTATCCCAGCTCTTGCACCACACCGGCCATTATCAAAGCAGCCTCCATCAGTATATACATTAATTCCTTCTGCTTCACTGAATCTTGAACCTACAATTGATCAAATTAGCTTTTACACTCCATATACTATTCCAGAAATCTTAAAAATACTATAAAAAGATGAGTGTCTCTGAGGATATGGAAGTCAGTAAACTATAAAGAAAAGTTGGTTGTAACAAAATAAATTTTACCAGTAAATTGCTCAGCTTTTAAATCAAATTTTGGACGTTTTGTCTGGTTAGCATCCAAACTGGAGCTTGCCCCTCCTGAGCTGGTAGAGTAATGTCTTTTGCTGCCTGGAGCTGTAATATTAGGCACAAAATCAATACAAAAAAATGTAGCTGTACTTCTGTTACTGTATTTAACATCTTGACCTATGAATATCTAGGGGCGTAGTTAGGGATATTCATGCATCTACACACAAACACACTAAAAATAACAAGATCCCACTTACAACCTACACCAGTGTCAAATATATAACAGAATATATCTATACATATATATAGTGGTACCTCTACAAATGAAATTTTTGAGATTCAAGTGTTTGAGCAAGCTTAAATTTGCTTTAACATACAAGCAAAATTTGAAATACTTGTAACTGGATTAAAGGATATAACAGTTCATGGAAAAGAAATACCCGTAAAAAGTTACAAGTGATTGTGCATCGGAGCTAGGTAATGACACTGAACTGTAAGGGAGGAGTAAGCAAACCTAGGCTGATATTTAAGGCCTGTGTGGAAAAGTGGGTTAGGTTTAAGGATAGAGAATAGCTTAAATACACCTTTCTTGTTGAAAAAAACACAATAAAAACAACTGGGGTAATATTTTGGGGACTGGAATGCATTTATAGTACTTTTAAAAGCTTATTTATATAATGCATGGACTGTGGCCCATCTTTCTAGTACAGTTACATTGTGGTAACTGACTTTCCTCAAGGCATATCAGAACTACCAGTACATGTTTTTTTACCAGTGAAGACAGCTTCCTCTAATGTTTTTAGTGTGGTTCTGACCTCTGCTAAACCAGACTGAAGTGTCAGCACCATTTCCTTTGTTGTCTTCATGTCTGCCTTCAGCGAGTAAATATGGGACATGAGGGATGAGATGCTCGCACCACTCATCTCAGCTGGAGTAGCACTGGCATCGTTAGAACTGACAGCAAAACTTGGAGATGAACTTGCTGAAAAATATACATTATACATTTATACAATGGGGTAGCAAAAATAACATGCAAATTGATATTGTGCTTAAAAATGACTTCAAACACTTCAAATTAGGCCTATCTATATTTTTATCAGATATATTTATAGCTATCATAATTGTGAACCTAACCAGAGAGTAAAACCTGTTATGATACAGTAATAAAAGAAACACAAATATTAAGAGAAGCAATTTATTCAATAAATTTGATCCCAATTTTTCTTAGTTTAAAGCTGTTGCTTGCAATTTAAAATAATTTAATACCATTATCACAGATAAATGAATGGCAGTCGGCTTCAGTTGAAAATTTCTTAAAAGCAGGGTTGGGAAAGCCTTTGATTTGCTTTTCACATTCAGACCTGATAAACCAAAAAAAAAAGATTATGTCTCTCTCGCTTTTGATATATATATATATATATATATATATATATATATATATATATATATATATATATATAGCTATTGGCTAGATATATACATTCATATATTCTGCCTTGATTGCCAGGCTTAACAAAAAAAATGGGGTAATTTTGATTTATAGGCCTACTAATAATAATTAATAAATTATTATACTATACTGTAACTATACTATAGTATGTATAGTTTAGTTAGTAGATCTAGTTTCATAGTTATATAGTATAGTTAAATAATAATATAGTTAAATATATTTAAATAAAGGCCTAGTTCCTAGTCATGGAGTACCCCACCTGTACTACTTAGGTTAACTATCTAATCCTAAACTGGGATGTTTATAGATACAGATGTCTGATAATAGAATATTCCATTAAATAGGTGTGTTTGGTTGTTAACAGTATTGTAATCTTGACTAATTTAATATTTATGGTTAGAAATTAGGGTTAAGTGTATGGTATGAAAAACATGGGGCGCCGTTATTTTTTTACAGTTTCTAATACTGTTGACTCTCTACAAGCTCCCTAATAAAACTCAATAATATTATCAAATCAATAGTAATATAACTTTTACATCTTATATTAACAATGACCGATAAAAAACTTTTACTTCGGCATCCCATGTTTTTCATCGCTTATAGTAGAGTGATCGCTTGCATTATTGTGATGTATAGCATTTATTTTCTACTTTTTAGTTCAATCAGAAAACGTGGGTTTTTAAAAACTTTTTTAATGATAATTATTTTCAAAGAACATTCTAATTAACTATTATTATTATGGGACACTCAGTGTCACACTGGTATACAAATTCCCCCCTTTAGTAAACGGTATCATAAGTGAAAAAATGACAAACTACCAAGTTGCATAAACACCGGGCACTCTTCCTCTTTTTACTGCGTAGAAGTATTTCCCTGACATAACGTGACTAGATTTGGGCCCAGCTTGAAGGGTAAGCTTTGAAAAAAGTCGTATCATCCGCCACCTTGGTCGAAGTCTCAGAATTTTTCTTAGCTTTATTACAATAATTTCTACTTCTGGATCTACACAATATTAACATTGTGTTTAAGTAATACTAATAGTGTATAGTATAGGTCTAAATCAAATATAGATTTCTATATCTCATCATCAATAACTAAAATCTATAAACTAGTCTAGATCTAGATCTAGATTTCTAGATTAGATTTATTTGCCTAGATCTAGCATTAGCTATCTTTGCCGTCACATTTGTAGTATTTATAAGTTGGGACTCGAATGAAACAGCTGAAAATAAAAAAGTTTAACTTTTATTATTTCGGTACTTTTGTTAGTGGGCTTGGCTAGGGCTAAAAGTTGGCTTAGGCCTAAATGTGATAAAATATTTATGAATTGAAACTAGTTAATAGTAATATTGATTAGATAATAGGTCCACCTAATTTTAAAATTATTAAAGCATTACAGAGAGAAAAGTTTATTTTTTAAAATTTAAATTAGGACCTAGTGTTACGGTAGGCTGATGCGGATCAATGTTTTTAAATTTATAATAAACACATCCTTACCGAAAGCACTTCCTTTTCCTGTAGACGGTCGCCTCTAAAGTATGTTGAAATATACCTCTCCTTTGCATATTTATCTCTTTTCATGTTATCTTAATTAATTCTTTTAAAATATGAACTAATTTTTACTTATATTGAATCCCTCAGTAAGCCAAATAAGCATTTTGAGCAAGATTAATGTTAAGTAAAATAGATTTAGTTGGATTTGTTGTTCACATCCTGCGAATCACTAGATCTAGATCTACAGCAAGAACTAAGTTCTTGTGTTAGTACAAGAATCTGTCAAAAGATGTGAATATACTTCTGGCACGCTATTATCAATTGCACATAATCATATTTAATTTATTTAAATAACACTGATCTAGATCTAGTTGCAAATTCATTATCCTGGCCCAATTCTGCTACATCCACAAGCAACGGATATTTTGATTTTTAATTGATTTCCTATTCTTAACAATTAGCCTATAATATAATGAAGGTGATTTCCTCAAATATTGTCCAGATCTATTTATTAGATGCTTGTCAACATGTTCTCGATCTATATTCTATGCCATATGCCCTGACTCCAGCCAACTTTTCTTTCTGGATGTGCTTCAACAAAAAATGTTGCTAGTCAGCTATTGTATAATTTTGGAGTTGTCGCTCCTATTTAACAAGATCTAGCTGTTCCTACCTTTGGACCTAGGAGTCTATCTGCAATCTTACACTTTCCTTCTCGACTATGTCGACCCTATTATTTAGAAAAGTTAAGCCTTTTTCAGATGTATGAAATGTTTTTAATTAACTGAAATTTTTTTTATAGATGTATTCGGCGAGCGCAAAGATTGTCAAGCCGCAGGGCGAAAAACCTGATGAATTTGAGTCCTCCATTAGTCAGGCAATAATTTTTTTTTATTTTGTATTATTAGTATTCATTCCTAGACCTAAGATTCTAGAGTGACTCAAACTGTACTTTACTCGGTAGACCTGTTTTATTTCTTAGACTAAGCTTGAATTGCTTTTTACATTTACATAGGCTCTTTTGGAGCTGGAGATGAATTCTGACTTGAAAGCTTCTTTGTATGAGCTGTCTATCACTGGAGCCAAGGTACATTTCTTTTGTTAATGATAGATTCTCATTGCTTGTAAGATATGCTATTAACCTGCATGCCGAAGCCTGACATGATGTTGGCAAATACTTGTGTATTATCATGGATCCTTAACATGCATTTATCCATGCTGTTTCCAGGAGATTGATATGCAAGGCAAAAAAGCTATCATCATCTTTGTACCTGTTCCACAATTAAGGGCTTATCAGAAGATTCAAACTAGACTTGTTCGTGAGCTAGAAAAGAAGTTCAATGGCAAACCAGTTGTCTTTATTGCACAAGTAGGTTTCTAGTTAATTGACTGCTTGTTTTGTTTTTAAAATTATTTTAAAAGTGCAATGATGTTTTATTGTATGTGAAATGATGAAAGCTTTAATCCATTCTCTGATATGGGTTTATGTGGAGGTTGCTCTAGAAGGAACATTTCATGATAAGCTTGAAAGGGTTTTCTTTTCTAGTGAGTCTTGCATTTTGTTCTGGATCCAACACATAACCTGGGAGGCTATCCTCTTAAGATGGAATGTTAACCTCTGATCATACTTACAGTTTATGAAAACTACCCTGGTGTTTAAAAGGGCTAATTAATAATTTAAATTTTCTTGAAATTATTATAATTGTCATTAGGTTAAAACAGTCACATTAGTAGTGAAAGTGGAGAGGTAGTTTTAGAAATAATTTAACATTTCTTAGGATGTACATGCTGAGTATTCATACATTTTTTTCAGTTCTTGCCCCAGACTAATGGGGCAGAAGTAGAGTTCATGTTTCAATGACTTTGACATACAATGGGGCAGTCTAGTCAGCACTATTCTTTGCCATCTTTGTTTCCATGACATGATTCAGGTACCCATCAGAGCTGGATGGACTTAAGGGTGTCCTACTGTCTCCAGCCTGGGGTTTATAGTTGTGACTTTTAGGTCAGCAGTTGTAAGCTTTACCATTAGATCACACCATTCTAGACAGAGACTTTTAAATAATCAAATAGGCTAAATACATGGCAAATTGTGTCCTATAGTTTTTTGTTCCATTTATGAGGAAATTGGATTCATGTGTGCGTTACTGTTCATCTGCTTGTAAACTGTTCTGCATGTCACTGTTGCAGTAATAGTTGATTTCCAAGCTATTGTTACAGTTTGTTATGCTTTTTCCCCAGAGAAAAATATGTAACCCTGAATAATTTAATGTACAGTAAATGTTATATTGCAGTATAGCTAGTTGATATGATGAAAGCTTTAATCCATTCTCTGATGTGGGGTCATGTGGAGGTTGCTCTAGAAAGAACATTTCATGATGAACTGGAAAGGGTTTTCTTTTCTAGTGAGTCTTGCATTTTGTTCTGGATCCAAAGCATGACGCCGGAGGCTGTCCTCTAAAGATGGAATGTTAGCTTCTGATCAGACATTATCCACTTCTTATTTGGTACTGTTTACTTGGATATCAAATTTTAATGTCAAGAATTTTATTTTTTCAGAGGAGAATCTTGCCCAAACCAACCAGAAAGAGCAAGAGAAAGAACAAGCAAAAACGTCCCAGAAGGTGACTTGTGTGTTATTTTTTTTGTTATTGTTAGTTATATTTTATCTTTTCCTGCAAATTAAAGTACTCTTATTTACTCCTATAGGCTCTCATTTATCCTTGATTACTATATACCTTAACTTATCAGTATTGTCTCAATTTTCCAGCTTAAATTTTGTATACTTTTTCTAAACCAGCCGAACCCTCACAGCTGTACATGATGCCATTTTGGAAGATCTATGCTTTCCCGCTGAGATAGTTGGCAAACGTGTACGTGTTAAGTTGGATGGTTCTAAGATAATTAAAGTTCATCTCGATAAGAGTCAGCAGAATAATGTTGAGCACAAGGTTGGTATATGAGTTTTCTTTATTTTTTTATTATATAGTGTTCTCTGCTGCTAATTATTAATTTGTTGTGGACAATGTTTAAAAAAGTATATTCCCTTTCAACAGCTGGACACCTTTACTTCAGTCTATAAAAAGCTAACCGGGAAAGACGTCACGTTCGAGTTCCCTGAGTTTGTCTTGTAATAAGTGGATGTCTTGAAATGAGGAGTAATAAATTTTAATAACTGAGATTTTTTGTTGCTTGTATCTCTGAAAATTAAGTAGATGTACAAATGTTTCTTGTCTGTTGGCTTGTTACGGCTTGAGCCTGAACACCCACTGATCAGTTACGTGTACGGAGTGCAACCAAAGTGAAATTAGGCAAATTTGATCTACATCGGTTGGAAATAGGCAAGCTCAAACATCAGTTCAGTATGTGTAGATTTTTAGGCTTGGTTGACCAATACTTTGACTCCTATGAGTTTCTTGCGCTTTTGGATACTTGGTCCATTTTTTACTTTCTCGTATATACGAAGTATAAAGTATTGTAATCGTGCAAACAAAAATAGAGATTTTTACAAATCTCGACGTTTTACACCTCACTGATATGGAAAAATATAATTTTCCAATCTTGTCTGTGTGTAAACACGATAACTTGAGTATCGTTACAGCTAGGTTGATGAAATTACATATGCAAGTATTTTATCAAAATCGTAGATCCGTATCATCTTTGAGCGCTTTCCAATAACCGGAAGTGGTACTTTTTCTACTTTGACTTTTTCAAAAGCCTATAACTTGAGTACTATTTCAGATAGATAAATGAAATTTCACTTGTAAGTAAAAGATCTAATTCTCTACCTTCTGTCAAATTTTGAGTAATTTCCGTTGACCGGAAGTACTAATTTATGCATTACCGATTTTTCAAAAACACGTAAATTTATAAAGTACTAATAAAATCCCGCGCTATTAATTATGCACACTTCATTAGGCGTTCACTTGGTGTGCAATTCTTTTTTTTTTTTATGAGATTCCATTCTATTATAAAAAGTTTAAGTAATTAAAAATGGATTACAAATAGTTTTATAATTTATATTAGAATATTTGAGAAAGTTTAGGGGAGATCACTCCTGGTTTATTTTCCTAAGAAAATAGCTAATGATTAAAATCACGTTTCAAATTAAAAAAAAAAACAATTTGTATGACCCTCTTATTTAAAATCATTTCTTTGTAATCTTACACTCGAAAAGTTCAATATGTAATTGGCATCAATTGAAAAGCTGGATTTCTCATGTATTCATTTATCACATTATCTTGAAAATAAGCCACAGCTTTAAATTGGCTTCACAAAATACTTTTCTTTTGTGACATACTTAGTATGAAAACTACCCTGGTGTATGAGTATTAGGCAGTTTTTATCGTTTTGCAGGTTAACCAAAATAGCCTACTTTTTTATTTACAGCAATGCCCACCTTTTTCCCACGTTTTCTTTAACTTGCTTTCTCTGTGTGTTTATTTGTTTGTCTTTCCAATCAAATCTTGCGATCGAAATTTCTGGCACTTCCCAGTTAGCTAGCGCGCTGAAATTTTCAGGGAAGCTTTCTTTTGGATGACCATTGAATATTCAATTGTTATTATTACTAAATTGATCAATGGAAACATTTTATTGAGCATTTTAGACCGCTATATAATCTATATATATAATTCTCCTCTGCTAGCCATTAGAAAAAAAACCAGCGACGCGTACCTCGCGCGCAGTGAAGCGAACGATCACATGTCGCCACAGGCTTAGGGGCAGAGAATTTAGCTTGAACCGAGTTTAAACTTACAGGAGGTAGGCCAGTTTGGGGGAGACGATATGGTCGAGTGGTTGGGCACACGATTGCTATCCCACTCGACACGGGTTCAAATCTATGTGTTCTAGTCAGTAACGTATTCAAACAACGTGTTTTTTACGAGTTGTCTTTTTACGAGTTGTCTTTTTACGAGTTGTCTTTTTACGAGTTGTCTTCGTTTACCCAAAAAAAGTGAAAAGATAAAATCGATAGCAAGATTTTAATGCAAACAAACAGACAAAGACTAAAAAGTAGAAAATAATAATCATTAAAAAAGTTTTAAAAAACCCACGTTTTCTGATTGAACTAAAAAGTAGAAAATAAATGCTATAGGCCCTACATCACAATAATGCAAGCGATCACTCTACTATAAGCGAGCAAAAACGTGGGGCGCCGTGATTTTCTTACAGTTTCTAATACTGTTGACTCTCTACAAGCTCCCTAATAAAAGTCAATAGTATTATCTAATCAATAGTAATATAACTTTTACTTCGGCGCCCCACGTTTTTCATCGCTTATAGTAGAGTGATCGCTTGCATTATTGTGATGTAGGGCCTATAGCATTTATTTTCTACTTTTTAGTTCAATCAGAAAACGTGGGTTTTTTTAAACTTTTTTAATGATTATTATTTCATTATATGCTCTTCCTGTAATAAAACTCACACTGGAATTGTGCTGGCTTTCATAGAGAAAATGTTTTGATTTATTAGAATTCTGATCTGCAGGTCTATCAAAATTGTTTTTATAAAAACTTAATATATATTGAAAATAAGCAGTGCAAATTTGTTAATAAAAGTGCAAAAAAAAAAGTACTGAAAAATTACAATTGGTGAAAGTTTTTTCTGCTTTCAAAACATTCTGATAGTTTTCAAACCTACTCCCTTTTTGCTGTTGAATACTTTCAATCATTGCCAAACATGCTGCAAGTATTTACAAGGCTTTAGTCACTACAGATCTTAAATTGTAGAAAAACTGAACATGTCCCCCAGTGGTTCCCAAACTTTTACAAAAAGTGACCTGCGATTTTCTTAATTTCTAGTACTAGTAGACTTTCAATATGAATTATGGTTAACTGTTAAATGTGTTATAATGCGGTGAGGGAAATTACATGCTGTTCTATACTTTATATTCGCAGTTTTTGTTAAAGTCAACCTCATGTCATTCTCAACACTTTATTTGTTTTAGTTTTGTTTTTAATTGGATAAGTGTTAGAAATATATTCTCGCAAAGATATGTAAACAAAAGGAATTAAAACTTGAAAGGCGATCACTTTTGGTTATGAATGGTGCATGCTAACCAAAATTGTGTGAGCAGGTTTTCATTTAACACAGTACATGACAGTGACAGGGAATCATTCCACAAATTTAAGAATGCTGGCAGCATCAAGAGAAGCAGAGAATGGGTACAAAGCAGATTTTTCCTCGTTCAGCTCAGGGAAATAACGCAGCAGTTCGTTTTCAAAAGAGTTAAGATGATCTTTCAAATTTTTATTTATTTCTCAATCAGATTCATCTACCATACTGCTCAGTTTCTCAAACATGTCAATATGTCCAAGATTAATTTTCCTTCGCCAATTTTGCAGCTCCACAAAATAGCAACTCTTCTTTGCTATCATCTGAATGAATATATTTCACAGACAAGCAACTGCGAACACAAATTCATCAACTTGAAAAGCAAACAAATGGTGAAAGCTTAATATCATTCAAAATTTGTTTTTTAACAATAGTACCACTGGACAGATATTTGTTGCATTTTGACTGAACTGGAATCCCCAAGAATTAATTTCACCATTTTGAACATGCAGGGTTTGATGAGATTTTTTCCTATTATGTGAGGTTTTCTTTAGCTTATCAATCTCTAATGCGACTTCATATGATGTTTGCACTAATGCAGACAAAAGAACTCCATATCTTTTTTGGTGTGTTCCAATGACTCGTCTCAAAATGAAATTTTAGTTTTGAAGGTTTCATAGACTCATGACTGAGAACAACTTTGCACAATGAGCATTGTTTCTAATCTATTCCATTTCCAGCAATGTTGGTAAAGCCGAATTTCAGATATTCTTCTAAATATTGATGCCTTTCTTTCATTGCTATGGTTAAGCCTACCAGTTAGTGACCCCCCCCCCCCCCCCAGAAAGCCCTGAGTGGGAACCCATGCCTTAAAGCATCATCAAAAGCTACACTACTAGGGTCTGGAAATTCTCATTTTTGGAAACACCAAAATTCGATATAAATCAAGGCTTGTACTGAAATAAATTAAAATTCCAAATTTATTAAAAGTAAATATTTGCTTTTATCAGGTTATTTGTGCAACAAAATCTTAGCTTTAACGAACTCAACTGAGCCATCCATGACATTTAAATCTTCAATATGATTCTACAGGCTTCAATGACTGACTGACATACTTAGCAAGTACAATATATTGTAGATAGTATTGGATCAACACTGTTTATAAATCACTGATTATTGGCAATAGAGTTGTTACTTGACCTCTGCATATAAAGGGATGGTGTGGTCAGCACCATGCCCAGCTGCTATTCTCTAACTTATCAGATACACATCAGAGTTGGGTGGACTCAAGAAATCTAGGAGTGATATGGTAGATTTTAGGAAAATATAATACTCAAGTTGTAATAATGAGTCAGGCTGAGAAATGTAAGACTAAAAGCAAAAATATTAAAAACAGAAACATCTATAGATTGTGAATACACATTAACAGCACAAATTTCCAGTTGGTGTTCTAATATCATGAATGTTTTCTTAAATGTAAAATATTTCTAGACATAGTTAATGGTATACAAATTGTCAAACACCTTAGGTTTCTAAAATATTACAATGTAAAATTTTAATGTCTTTTTAACCTAAAATTGTACCACCATCAGTTTTTATAGAATGCATATCTTTTTCTTTTCAAATGTGCTCATGTTAATAGTTTATGTACAAAGAAAGTATAATTTCTTTTAAAATTAAAATGTCACAATAATTATGTTGAATGTCATTAATGACAAATGAACCACAAAGTTTAGTACAATAATGTCAAAATTAAAACATTCCTCATTTGTTGCTGATTATCATATCACAGTTATCCCAAGGCACTGAAGTGTGTATTGCAACTCATTTCTCTATCTCGTTTAGAATATCTGCAGCTTCCTGGCTGCTTGTGTCTTGAGATGAAAATAAAGTCTGTTCTCTGAAAGATTCCTGGGATGTCTGACCTAATATCTCTGAGCTGAATGCAGATTCCAAATCTGTACTGGATTTGCTAGATGTGTTGTCTTGTTTGTGTATGGGCTTAGTTCCATCTTGTGCAATGGAGATGTGCTGATTAGGAGTTGTCTGTCTGGTTCCTTTTCTTTTACCCAATATTGTGACGTAGTTGGCTGGAATCATACCAACACTTTTCCCATCAACAGAAGCCAGCATCCATCCTCGAACATGGGGTTGTAGCTCTGCAGATCATACAAATACAATATTTCATCACAGCTGTCCACCTTTGTTATAATAATGCACGGTTAGTTATTTCAAAGTAAGAAGAGACAGGATAAAGACTGTGATAGTAGAACAAAAAATAATTTTACTTTAAACACATAGTAAATCAAAAGATTCTAAAACACAATAACCATTTTTTTCTCTCTAACTTTTATATCATTTGGATGATAATTAAAGTGCAGTTTTCTGAAACCTGTCTAGTTAATTTTTGAGACTGAAGGTTTTTTGTTTAGAATGGAATATATACATGCTTATAACACTTTATGTAGGTCTACACTAAAAAAATAGTAAGGGTTGTTTCATTAAGCAACTTTGGTTCACATGAAATGAATCCAGATCCTCACATATTTCAAAACATTAACAGGTCTTGTCACTCAACAAAATGAATTTTTAATTCCCTTACAGAAGTAGCATCTTCATATCTAACCTACCTTTTGGTGCTATTACAATCTTTTGTCCTGCAGAAAAAGATAATTCATCCTTGCCTTGGCCTTGAAAGGAAAAATTTGCTCTGGCTAAAAAATGATCATCTTCTTCTTTAGCCCATCCATTTTCCTCTGAAAGATAGATCACAAGTTTAAGTTCAGTTTAAATAACTACCATAATTGTTGTTATATACATAACTCCAATAATGCATTTAAAGTATGTAACAAATAAGAACTTAATTTGTAATTACGTTTTTCACTTGAAAAGGCAGATATAACTTTCCAGATTAAATACGGGCCTCCCATGATCATTCCAAAAAACAAAAGTATAGGCCATGAACTTTTTCTTGGACCACCATCAGGGCATGCTGCTGCTACTGCTGCTGCTTCTTCAAACGCACGTTTCCACAATGTGTCAGCCTCACCTTTTGGGCGCAAGTGTAGAAACTCTAAAACTTTTCTGAAACAAAACATTCATTAACCGTATGACACTTCAACAGTGGGACTGTTTTCTCATAGCCCAGTAATGAATGTTGTGGTAGTAATTGGTAAGCCAAACAGCCACAAACATGCATTGTGTGTGAAATATAACAAATGCTAACTAAATTTTTATTAAGTTTTAGAGAGAAAATTTACCTAAAGATGTACCGAAGTGTGCGAATAAATGCAAGAGCAGAAAATACATGTATTAACTGTGACTTGAGTCGTGTAAAATTATCTGCAACACCAATGACCGCTCGAAATGAATTATACACTGCTTGGAAAGTTGAATCCAACATCATGCCAACAGAGTTTACCTTGAATAAAATAAAGTGGTTTCTTGTTTATAAAGGTTTTATAATATACACATTAATTGATGTTTTGTAGCTGTAAGGTACACTAATTGTAAAAAATTAATTAATAATTTGAGCTTTCTTACACATTTTTCTGCAAGACATTAAAAATACTTAAACAAAGCAAACTGTTCAGGCTCAATTATTAAATCGCTAGTTGTACATAATTTAAAATACTTTTAAGATGAAGACTTACAGCTTGCACAATGGACTCTATTGATTCAAAAGCTGGCCGGGAACTTTCTTCAGCTTGTAAAGCAAAATTACTCCTCACATCTCCCAATCTATTGTATCCATAACCTCCATAACCTCCTGAATATGGACTGCTGTACATGCCTCCGTATCCCCCATAACCAAATGTATTTGAGTATCCACCATATCCACTGTAACCTCCTAACGAGCTATATCCAAGCCCAGGATTATATCTGTTGTTTAATGCTGACTGTTGTGATGGCCGAGGGGGAACTTGAGGTGGCATAGACGAGGAAAGCGAAGCTGTTGAATTACTAGCTGCAGCACTAACTTGATCCTGTATAAGAGGCAACCTGCAGATTACAAGAGAAATAACAAAATATCACATTAAGTAAGTAAATAAATAAATAAATAAATTTTTTTTTATTGGAATCTCTTTGCTCATTATTTTGTTGCAGGCACAAGAACCTGTCAATTTCTAATAAAACTTAACTTTTTCTTCTAAGTTAAGCAGTGCTTTTTCAGTTCTGAACAATATCTTATAAGCCTAAGGAATAAAAGGTTAGGTAATGTCCTTTGCAATTAACATTAACAACTAATAACCACCATCATGATTTAATTGCCATTGTTGATGAAGATATAATTTTGCAATTTTATATTGGATAATGTCTTTGATGGGGTCTGTATTGTAATTTTTAGCGCAATTTCCATACGGACAATTGCGATTACTAACTCGTCATTTCTGGATGTATGAATGAATGGATGTGTGTCCGCAGCTTTAAGTGGTATCTCCTCCTTAACAAAGCAATATCGAGGACTAGTTCCAAAAGCAAATATGTTAAGCAAGTTCCGAGGATGATTGTGGGCCAAAAAAATTCCCGGAATTCCTTCCTGGATTTCCCGGAAAAGCCAAAAAACCTCGAAAAAATGCAGTTTTTGGCCCATATCTCGGCAACCAGACCACTTAGCGACTTGAAACATTTACCAATCGATTCCTGCCATAATTTTGAACAATATTGCCGAAGAAAGTTTTCAAAAATATCCTTTCGTTCGGTCAGAAAAAATTAATTAAAGAATTTTTAAACTGAGCATCGTGTAGGCCTAGGATGATATTTTTAATTTAAACTGAGCATCGTGTAGGTGTTTAGCGCAAAAAAATATCCTTTCGTTCGGTCACAAAAAATTAAAAATTGTTATGGATAACATAAGGAAATTGTGCTTAAATTGTCACTAGACATTTTATTAACTTGTTTTCTTCTTTTCTTTCTTGCTCTCAGTCACAGACAATTAAAATGAATAATAAGTCGTCTGTATATCTTTATTTGACAATGCTAACAGTACAGTATCCCTGTGTAGCGCACATCTAAGGAGACTATGGTGCCAAGACGTGTGCTGCATAAATTAGAGGCTACGGCCATTGTTTCTCCCTCTCCTCTAAGACTAAGCTGCCGATTTATATACCCTACCCCCAAACGGCTTGAATGACACCCAGCTCTCTATGCAAATTCTAGTGCTTACCTGTAAACATTTCCCCTGGTTTTGTGCTAACCTACCCCAAATAACTCTTTATTAAAACTTAATGCGATCTCCTAAAATTCTAATGATTCCCTTTACAACGATATATATTATATAAAAGTTAAAACATCAATAATTGGTTCTTAAACAATACTACCTAAAACATGCAAATAATGTGAAAATATCTAATTAAAGATCTAGCTTGGCCTCATAGTTCATTCAATTTTCATGCTAAACTAAAAAGTATTTATTACGATACAAATTTTTCTTCTTGGCCTACTAAGCACAACTGACTCATTCCTGACTAATTCACTACAGTATCAATGAATGTATTACCATGAGCACCAGTTTAACTTTACAGTCAGTTACTACTACTTTTGGTCTATGGTAATTTTATGATTTTAACAGAAAGAAAGCTTTTGTACTTTTATAAAATTAAATATTTCATATATAGGTCTATATTTTTAAGTAAAATTTATAGCTGAAGGCTAACCTTCTTTTAGTCTACAGTGGTAAAATATAAGAAAAGCCTACACATTAACTGTCAGTCATATTATACAACATTTTTGTCTAGCAACTTGCAGTTTAAATAATTTACCCCCCCCCCCCCCCTCCTCAATTTGTAGGCTGGGTGGGAGTAAAAAAATGCAGAAATTTATTGTTGATTTTTATTTTACAGATTTGATTACATAATTATTTGTAAGATTAGTAATGCGCCTAAATGTTATTTTTACTGGCACTCCATTCATAAATTTATTATAATGTGTAGGCCTTTAAAAATTCAATCATATTATTCTCTTCATGGGGACCTTGCGGGACACCACCACCAAGACGTAAGCGCGCCTAGCAGACCCCTCTCTTTCTCTCTAGGCATATCGCTACCACCCCCACTGGTCTAGTAAGCTGTGGTTCATGCAAAATGTTTTCAATCGTAGTGACGGCTATTAGTATTAGGGGCATATAATTTAGTTTGAAACTGAAACGGGGAGGTAACTAAAAGGAGGCTGCTTTCATGGGGGGGGGGGGGGGGGGGGGAGGGTAAGGGTTGGGGGAAAGGAGGTTATCGTCCTTAACGAGCTACTGATACACTGACTGATAGTGTTTTAAATTTTAAAGCAAATATTTTCAGTAGCAGCATTGGTAGTGTCGAATTCACAAAATAAATGGGTAATCTATCGTTTTGGGTACGTAAAATCGCCCGCGGCTAGTAATGTACGAAAAAGTTACCTCATTGTCAAGGCTTTAATAGAAGTATATTTTGATATATTTGTGTCAAATATTATAGATAAATGAATAAATAACCTAAATCAATAGCTAAATATATCAATATAGGCAAGAAATTAACTTTTAACAGCAGTGTTTGCGAGCAGGATTTCCTATATAAACAGCAGCCATTTGTAAAATAGAGTTGCCTTCCCCTGATCTCGCGCTATAAATTAACAAAGAAAGAACTTAAACAAGATGGCTGCTAGAGTAAATGAGCATGGTTGCATCTGTTGGAAACATCGCTAGTATTCATTTATTATTGAAAAGTTTTAATTCAATTGTTTGAAAACAGGTACATAAATGAAACAAGGAAACATTTTTGTATTTTTCAAAACACAAATCCTCCTCAAAATGTGAAATAATTATTAAAATTTAAGGAGTCACCTGTTTTTTACATTACTAGTCGCGGGCGATTTTACGTACCCAAAACGATAGATTACCAATAAATGAATTACTGAAAAGTAGAAAATAAAACAACTAAATAGCGGCGTATGCTATGCCGCGGGTCGGCTCGTACTATTTAATAGGCCTAGAATCTAGTAAATTTTGAAGGGGGGGGGGGGGGGGGGTGTTTAGACTTAGAGTTTAGAGGGGGCAGCAGTAGTTTTGTTTTGTGACGTGAGTTCATGAATGAAATGTAAACAAAATGTAGGCCCTAAATAAAACACTACTAGAGAGGGGGGAGTTACTAAATCTAGACTCTTCCAATAAATCTATTAATAACTTAAAAAACGTACGATGACATATTATTAACTGGAAACTGAGAATTATTTTGATAATTTATTCCAGGTCTTTCCCATGGTTTCAAGGGAGCAGACATTTTAAGTTGTTTATAGAATGAAGTAATGCCAGATACATATATGAAAAAATTAAGCCAAACAGAAAAAGCAAATTTTTCTTAGAAGTTGGTTGGACTTATAAATGTCAAATTTGGCACGATGATGCCTTGGGGCGGTAGAACACGGGGGCCGGTGACGGTTGGCCGAAAATATATTTGAGCTGTATAACGAAAAAATTTCTTGCCAAACAACCCTCCTTGATATTTTGTGAGGTGGTAGATCTAGATCTAGGAGAACACCTAGGGGTGTCACCAAAAACTCGGCATATCTGGGAAAACTTCGTAGAGGGGTCAAAACTGACCAGTTGTATTTCCCTATTTAATCTTTATATTTTATGGGAAGAGCAGAGGGTCATTTCAACGCGGATTTTAGGGTACTTAAACTCAGTATATCTGGCTAATTTTTTGCAAGCTCCTAGCTAAATGGCTTGACCTTTAGGGAAAAATGTCGGTTTGACTGAAAGCCCTCGACGAGGGCTAAAGCATGACCGCGAGTGAAAATCTCCTTATTTGAGCTATATAACGAAATAATTTCTCGGGGTCACTCAGGGTGTCACTGCTAGAGTTTCTTCAGGCATCTCTTCGGCCCCTCCCCCCCCCCCGAAGAAAGTCTACCGTCCCCCCCCCCCCCCCCCGAACGAAATGGAATTTATATAGAAAACATACTTTTACCAGTGTCTACCCCCCCCGGAAAACGTTGTCCCTCCGAAAATATCAAGTAACCCCCCCCCCCCCGGAGAAAAAAAGTCTGGAAGAAACACTGGTCACCAGAGGCATAGCGAGGGTGGGGGGGACATATGTCCCCGGGCACCGACCTTAGGGGGCGCCAAAATGGGTTGGAAAAACAAATAGAAAGTTTGGGGAAGGGGGGGGGAGGGGTGCAAATCAAAAGTTTGAGGGGAGGGGGGTGCAAATCAAAAGTTTGTTCCCGGGCGACGGGAAGGGTCGCTACGCCACTGCTGGTCACTGTCACTCCGCCAAAGACTAGATAACCTAGGCTATAATTGTATATTTCTGGTAATTTGATGTCATCCCCATCCCGAATGATGTTACCATTTGCCTTATGTAGGCTGTACAACGTTGGTCAGCTATTAAACTAAATTAGCTACATTTTGTTGTAGTGAGGTGTCTTCCCCTTTTAAAAAAATACATAATTTCAAAAGAAAAAATTTTTATTTAATCAGTGCCCACCTCACCCCCATCCCGAAAATGTATGCCCCCCTCCCTGCTGAAAAGTGTCCAGATCCCCCCCTCCTCTCTTTCTCTCTCTCTCTCTCCCCCCCCCCCCCCCCCCTCCAAAGAAAAAATAGATAAATGTCTGAAACACTGTAACGCTACTGGATCGAGGATTAAATAAAAAAGACAAAGCATTTATTGACTTCTAGATTTATGTACAGTATGAAACGCAACTAGATCTAGATCTAGATCTAGATTCTAGATCTAGATAGATCTAATTCTAAATTTTTCGAAAGCATAGACCTAGATTTTTCATAAAATTGTTCTCGTTTTTTTAGTGTCTCACACTTATTCCCACGTTTTCTTTAACTTGCTTTCTCTGTTTGTGTGTTTGTCTTTCCAATCAAATCTTGCGATCGAAATTTCTGGCACTTCCCAGTTAGCTAGCGCGCTGAAATTTTCAGGGAAGCTTTCTTTTGGATGACCATTGAATATTCAATTGTTATTATTACTAAATTGTTCAATGGAAACATTTTATTGAGCATTTTAGACCGCTATATAATCTATATATATAATTCTCCTCTGCTAGCCATTAGAAAAAAAAACCAGCGACGCGTACCTCGCGCGCAGTGAAGCGAACGATCACATGTCGCCACAGGCTTAGGGGCAGAGAATTTAGCTTGAACCGAGTTTAAACTTACAGGAGGTAGACCAGTTTGGGGGAGACGATATGGTCGAGTGGTTGGGCACACGATTGCTATCCCACTCGACACGGGTTCAAATCTATGTGTTCTAGTCAGTAACGTATTCAAACAACGTGTTTTTTACGAGTTGTCTTTTTACGAGTTGTCTTTTTACGAGTTGTCTTTTTACGAGTTGTCTTTTTACGAGTTGTCTTCGTTTACCCAAAAAAAGTGAAAAGATAAAATCGATAGCAAGATTTTAATGCAAACAAACAGACAAAGACTAAAAAGTAGAAAATAATAATCATTAAAAAAGTTTTTAAAAACCCACGTTTTCTGATTGAACTAAAAAGTAGAAAATAAATGCTATAGGCCCTACATCACAATAATGCAAGCGATCACTCTACTATAAGCGAGCAAAAACGTGGGGCGCCGTGATTTTCTTACAGTTTCTAATACTGTTGACTCTCTACAAGCTCCCTAATAAAAGTCAATAGTATTATCTAATCAATAGTAATATAACTTTTACTTCGGCGCCCCACGTTTTTCATCGCTTATAGTAGAGTGATCGCTTGCATTATTGTGATGTAGGGCCTATAGCATTTATTTTCTACTTTTTAGTTCAATCAGAAAACGTGGGTTTTTAAAAACTTTTTTAATGATTATTATTTTTAAAATAAAAATCGCACGGGAAATAGAGGGAGGCTACTCATAAATTAAAAGTATTTAGATCTAGGTTGGTAAAATTAACATTCTTAGTTTACTGTTTAGCAAAGGTACAGAGTACAGGGCAAAGTACAAGGATCAACATCAAGATGGCTGCACTAATCTCCAGACGATTGTTTTCCCCTCTACACCGTAATTATTATTTTTTATTACTCATTTCTCCTATTAAGTAATTTATTTTATTTGAATAATCAATAATTACCTCCAGGATCTACTGTAGGCCTAATTAATTATTTTTAGTTAGATCTAGATTATATTCTTATATTAAGAATTAAGTCTAGAAGTCTAGATCTAGATTTTTAGATCTAGAAATGTTAATCTAGTTTCTAATTATTATTTAATATTTATTATAGAATCTATAATTTATAGATTCTATTCTAGTTCAGAATATCTAGATTCTACATCTAGATCTAGTAATATGTGAGTACACTACTAATATTCTAGTTCGATTCACTAGTTCGGATGCTCAAGTTTGGATTCTTGAGTTCAGAATAGTTCAGATTCCAAACTTGAGTCCCCAGGATAATGAGGATATCCCTCAGTTCACCCAGCTCTGATGGCTGGGCAAAGTGCTGACCATTAATAATTAATAATTTAATATCTATTATTATTATTATGCTGAGGTCAGTAAAATACAAATAGGTGAACTCTACTTCACCTGCCCAATGGGCCATCAGTTTTGTAAGGATACTTTAATTTTACTTACTCTAAACAAGATGTTTAGAAGATAACTGACTGACACTGATAAATGATTAAGCTAGTAATATCCATAGTTAAAAGTAGGCTATATTTTTAAATCGCTAGATCTTAATTATTTATACTTTTTGCTAAATTTTCTGGTTTAAAAATCTTTCAGCATCAGTACGATGTTTAAGTACTACCAGTCCCAAGTCCAATGCATCATCTCAGTCAAGTAAGTTTAAATATTTTTTCCAACTAGATTTGAAAAGGTCAGCTCTGTTTCACTTTTAGAAAACCATAACTACAGGCAGTATGCTGTGTTACTTTAATTTTTAGTTTGAAACTAGGAATTTTTTTTTGTTATTAAGTTACAGGACAAGGACAAATCTTGTCATTTCTTTAAATGTAATGTACGTGTAATGTCAAGTTTAAACAATAAAAAACAGAAACCAAAAGCTCCCTGAACAGACAGGACAGGAAAAACATTGTTTTAGTGGAAGGAGTCCGTACACCATTTCTACTTTCGGGTACAACATACAAGAACCTGATGCCACATGACTTAGCTCGTGACGCCTTAAGGTGAGTTTTATCATTTCTTGCACTTTCCATTATTTGCTTTTAAGGAAAAGTAGGGGATCATTGCTCATAGCATTTGTCGATTTTTATTTTTACACCAATGAAGTATCTAGCAAAAAGAAATGGTAATTAAATACATTGTCTGGGTTACAAAAAGAAAAGAAACCAAATATAATTTATTAAAAGGTATTATCTAGGAAATTAATACTAAACTTCATGTTCTGCAAACACAGTTTAATATATTCATTTCTGTTTCAGGGGACTGGTCAAACGAACCAATGTACCAACGGGTAGACATTTATTTTTTTAATAATATTCAATACGTTTAATACATCAACCAATTATATTATTTCTGAATAGCCTTTATTAGTGCATATTTCTGTAAAAAAAAAGTGTAAACAGCATTATTTACTGAGTCTTTGATGATGCTGATATTGTCTGCCGTTTTAGATGGAGTCGACTACATTATTATGGGCTGTGTTATTATGGAAGTGAAAACAAGCAATATTGCAAGGGAGGTGAGCACATTTAGAATTTTGTTTCTTTTAATCATTTGTTTCTGAAAAATGTTGATCCCCCCCCCCCCCCCCCAGCGTAGCTTTTTTTTACTTAATGTGTTTAATTATATCAAACTCGTGTGTATATTCAAGATGACCCATATCTTCATTGTACAATCCTGAGATTTCTTTTTTTAAATGATTGTTCTGAATTAAATTTAGTTTTAAGTGTATGAATTTACATTTTAAAATTCATTGGCAACTGATAGTCTTTAGCAGTGTTACAATTTTTGATTGCTCTTAAATCTTTAAAAATCATATCCGTATAGGCTGCACTTGGAGCAGGATTTTCTAATCGCATTCCAGCCCATACAGTGACCCAAGCTTGTATTTCAGCCAACCAAGCAATTACCACAGGTACGGTTTATCTAGTGTTTATGTATCACTTCTAGCCAAACTGGAGATTGTACAGTCAGGCAGGATGTCGAGCGCTCTATGGCTAATTCTTGAGTTGTCTCCCTGTCTTTAGTTATTGTAACGTCTGTGCTCAATAACTCTGGTGCGCAACACTCCACTTAGGGAGTGTGAGGGTGGCTTGGCATAGAACTGATCACCCTTGATTTGCAGACATCACAGAAACTGGTGAACTCAACATTTTTAGTGAATCTGTGACTTAACACAAGATCTACATTTTATAGTTTGATGGTTCACTATTTTGATGAACCTATCAGTTACCCTAGGTACACATTATAATGTCACTGTTTTAGTGAACCAGTTACCCTCGGTAAAGATTTTTTGTTTGTTTCACTATTTTAGTGATACAGTCACTTACCAAAGATTTTGAAAGATACATTTTATACTTGTCTGCTTATTTGATATCAGCCACAAACTATTAAACTGTCTCTTCTAGGTATGGGTCTTATAGCGTCTGGTGAATGTGATACTATCATAGCTGGTGGCGTGGAGTTCATGTCTGATGTCCCCATTCGACACAGCAGAAAGATGCGCAAGATCTTGCTGTCCTCTCAGAAGGCCAAGTCCATCCCAGCCAAACTGCAGCTGGTCAGACAAGCCTTGAGTCCTTCAGTCTGGGTGCCAGAGCTGCCTGCTGTAGCAGAGTTTTCCACCAATGAAACCATGGGACATTCTGCTGACAGACTGGCTGCCGCATTTCAAGTCTCTCGACGGGAACAGGTTTACAGTTTTTACAATCTAAAATACTTAGCATTGGTCTTACAATCTAAAAGTTTCAAGAAGAACAATACTTACCTCTTCTCATTAGTGAACAATAAATTAATGAGGGCTTTATTGCAAACAACAGCTGTTTTGTTAAATGCTTGTTACTTCACTTGTTTTAGTCACTTTAAAATATTAAAGTGTAAATCTTCTCTACTTGTTATGGTGATCTGATGTGTACCAAACCTTGTCCCCAGGATGAGTTTGCCTTGCGATCTCACACTTTAGCCCAGAAAGCTACAGATCAAGGGTTGTTGATTGACAGACTAGACTACAAAGTTCCAGGTACTTGCTCTAGTCACCAAAGAACTTTACTCACTTAAGGTGGCAACTAGAACTCCCATGTGAGGTGCCGTGTTTTATTCCTTGTTGCAACTAGAACTCCCATGTGAGGTGCCGTGTTTTATTCCTTGTTGCAACTAGAACTCCCATGTGAGGTGCCGTGTTTTATTCCTTGTTGCAACTAGAACTCCCATGTGAGGTGCCGTGTTTTATTCCTTGTTGCAACTAGAACTCCCATGTGAGGTGCTGTGTTTTATTCCTTGTTGCAACTAGAACTCCCATGTGAGGTGCTGTGTTTTATTCCTTGTTGCAACTAGAACTCCCATGTGAGATGCTGTGTTTTATTCCTTGTTGCAACTAGAACTCCCATGTGAGGTGCTGTGTTTTATTCCTTGTTGCAACTAGAACTCCCATGTGAGGTGCTGTGTTTTATTCCTTGTTGCAACTAGAACTCCCATGTGAGGTGCTGTGTTTTATTCCTTGTTGCAGGTGTAGCAGAGCCAGTGACTAAAGATAATGGCATTCGTCCATCATCCATTGAGCAGCTCTCTAAACTAAAGCCAGCCTTCATCAAGCCCCACGGGACCATTACAGCAGCCAATGCTTCATTTCTGGTACTTCCTCACCACGTTGTTTCATAACCACAGACATAGAATGTTAACATTTCTGGTACTTCCTCACCACGTTGTTTCATAACCACAGACATAGAATGTTAACATTTCTGGTACTTCCTCACCACGTTGTTTCATAACCACAGACACAGAATGTTAACTCTGTTTCATGTGATTGTTGTCATGCTAGTATGGCTGGTTGAATCAGAACCCTCACAGCCCTATCAGTATTCAGATTTAAATTGGAAATGTTATGGGACTTTTTATTCTTCCCATTTATTGAACTTTTCAAACTATAAAATTTAATCGGTTGACCAGACAAAAGTGGCTATTTTTATTACTATTTTTAGACACAGATTCTGTTACTACTCCTTATTAACTCCCTTGTCTAATTAGATTGATTATCAATCATTCAATGGTTTAGTAGTTTAGACTAGCAGTTTGTTTTTAGCATGCCATGATTGAAATGTTTGGGGAGAATGGATACTTTTACTCAAGAATAGTTTTAGTCTCTCCCAAGTAAATATCAGTTATTTCCCCTGCACTGTTTACTTGATTTTATTGTATTGAAATAACTCTATCCCTTGTCAGACTGATGGAGCCTCTGCCTGCCTTATCATGTCAGAAGCCCATGCCTTAAAGATGGGGTATAAACCTAAGGCCTACCTCAGAGATTTCCTGTATGTAGCACAAGATCCAAAAGATCAACTTCTGCTTGGGTGAGTCAACTCTAGCTGTATAGTTGAAGTAGAGTTTATCTAGGTATAATAATGACTGTAAACTGAGAAGCAAAGAGTAACAAATTGCCAACAGTAATATTGATACAAATAGTAACAAAGTCCCAACAGTAATATTGATTTAAAAAGTACCAAAGTCCCAGAGTACCATAGATACAAAAAGTACCAAAGTCCCAGAGTGCCATTGATGCCAACACTAACCAAACTGTTTGTCTACCCCAGCCCTGCCTATGCCACACCCAGGCTGTTGAAGAAAGCTGGCCTTACTCTTGGAGACATTGATGCTTTTGAAATTCATGAGGCTTTTGCTGTAAGTATTGCAGGTGGAAGAGACAGGGTTTCCCTAAACCCTGAATCAACCCTTTTTCTTGTACTACATCTGGTCACACCATACAGACTTAGTTTACTGCTTGGAGGTCGACGTTGTCGAGTCGATTAAGCTCATGGTTGCTGAACTGAAAAGTCCAGAGTTCAAACCCCTGGGCAGATGAGGCTCAACTCATCTAGGAAAGAAAACTCCAAAATCAAACTACTGCTGCCTTGTGAATCAGGCTGAAATCTGAGTCAATGTCCTATATGACGCATAACAAGTTGACACGTAATACATGATTTTGTTGGACGGAATCCCAACACTAGAATTAAGAACAAAGTAGAAGAAAAAGTAATTAAGAACAAAGTAGAAGAAAAAGTAAACTGCTTTAATGTGGAGGGGTATGGAGAATTTGTGTAAACAGTTTATGAGAGAAAAATGTAACATAAAAAGACACTGTTGTTTTCAGGGTCAAGTCTTGTCAAACTTTAAAGCTCTGGACTCTGACACATTCGCCCAAAGTTATATGGGCTTGTCTTCTAAGGTAAGAAATTTGCTAAACATTTGTCACAAAATTATATGGGCTTGTCTTTAAAGGTAAGAAGTAAGCTAAACATTTAAAAATTTATTTTAAAGCCTTGTTTAGAAATGAACATTTTTTCAGAAGAACATCTGTCTTCAGAAAAACTGCAATTGTATTACGATTACAGATAATTTAAAAAAAAAATGCTTTTTAAAGGCATCTTAAAATGCTTTGTTTTTTACTTCACTCATAACAACAACAAAAAAAGTCCCATTGTAAAGTACTCTTGAATTGTCTTTGAATCTAAAATTCTATTAAAAAAAATTCCTTGATAGCTTAGTGGGTTGTATACCTACTTGATGTAAAGTTTTCATAAGTGTGACTGATCCAATTTTTCTAGCCTGGAGCGCCACCTATGGAGAAAGTCAACACTTGGGGTGGATCTTTATCTCTTGGCCATCCTTTTGGAGCAACAGGTGTCCGTCTGGCCACCACAGCGGCCAACAGGCTGATCCATGAAGATGGCCAGTTTGCCCTGATTGCAGCATGTGCAGCTGGTGGCCATGTAAGTAACTACCCTTCACTTTCTGGCCATGTAAGTAACTGCCCTTCACTTTCTGGCCATGTAAGTAACTGCCCTTCACTTTCTGGCCATGTAAGTAACTGCCCTTCACTTTCTGGCCATGTAAGTAACTGCCCTTCACTTTCATACTGGAACACAGCTACATAAGCGCAGCTAACAATATAAGACAACCACAGCTAACAATATAAGACAACCACAGCTAACAATATAAGACAACCACAGCTAACAATATAAGACAGTCACACCTAACTATATAAGACAGTCACACCTAACTATATAAAACAGTCACACCTAACTATATAAGACAGTCACACCTAACTATATAAGACAACCACATACTGCTTACAATTTAAAACCCCAGCTAACAATATTAAACACTATTAAAATTAAAACAGTATTATAACTACCACATTCTGCTAACAATATTACAACTACCACACTCTGCTAACAATATTACAACTACCACACTCTGCTAACAATATTACAACTACCACACTCTGCTAACAATATTACAACTACCACATTCTGCTAACAATATTACAACTACCACAGTGCTAACAATATTACAACTACCACACTCTGCTAACAATATTACAACTACCACATTCTGCTAACAATATTACAACTACCACATTCTGCTAACAATATTACAACTACCACATTCTGCTAACAATATTACAACTACCACATTCTGCTAACAATATTACAACTACCACACTGCTAACAATATTACAACTACCACATTCTGCTAACAATATTACAACTACCACACTGCTAACAATATTACAACTACCACATTCTGCTAACAATATTACAACTACCACATTCTGCTAACAATATTACAACTACCACACACTGCTAACAATATTACAACTACCACACTCTGCTAACAATATTACAACTACCACACTCTGCTAACAATATTACAACTACCACACTCTGCTAACAATATTACAACTACCACATTCTGCTAACAATATTACAACTACCACATTCTGCTAACAATATTACAACTACCACACTCTGCTAACAATATTACAACTACCACACACTGCTAACAATATTACAACTACCACACTCTGCTAACAATATTACAACTACCACACTCTGCTAACAATATTACAACTACCACACTCTGCTAACAATATTACAACTACCACACTCTGCTAACAATATTACAACTACCACATTCTGCTAACAATATTACAATTACCACATTCTGCTAACAATATTACAACTACCACATTCTGCTAACAATATTACAACTACCACATTCTGCTAACAATATTACAACTACCACATTCTGCTAACAATATTACAACTACCACATTCTGCTAACAATATTACAACTACCACATTCTGCTAACAATATTACAACTACCACATTCTGCTAACAATATTACAACTACCACATTCTGCTAACAATATTACAACTACCACATTCTGCTAACAATATTACAACTACCACACTCTGCTAACAATATTACAACTACCACATTCTGCTAACAATATTACAACTACCACATTCTGCTAACAATATTACAACTACCACATTCTGCTAACAATATTACAACTACCACATTCTGCTAACAATATTACAACTACCACATTCTGCTAACAATATTACAACTATTACATTCTGCTAACAATATTACAACTACCACATTCTGCTAACAATATTACAACTACCACACTCTGCTAACAATATTAACCCTACAGCCTTGACTTAGTTTTTGCTCTCTATTCCCTCTGTGTTTGCTCTCTATTCCCGCTGCCCTATGTATTGTTTTACCGCCATTTCCCTCCTCTTCTGAGATTATTTTCTAGTGGACAAAAATTGTGTAGACATAAAAAACATTCTACATATTTTTGTTTGGAAAAAACATCTGACTCCTAAATCTTACTAAATAAAGAAGTTCATTAACTTGTAAAGTCAAACCTGTGTTTTGTGTTTGTGAACTCTACCAATGTTTGATAAAAATTAATGTGATGGGGGTTGAGGAAACAGAATGTAAAAATTAATGTGATGGGGGTTGAGGAAACAGAATGTAAAAATTAATGCGATGGGGGTTGAGGAAACAGAATGTAAAAATTAATGCGATGGGGGTTGAGGAAACAGAATGTAAAAATTAATGCGATGGGGGTTGAGGAAACAGAATGTAAAAATTAATGCGATGGGGGTTGAGGAAACAGAATGTAAAAATTAATGTGATGGGGGTTGAGGAAACAGAATGTAAAAATTAATGTGATGGGGGTTGAGGAAACAGAATGTAAAAATTAATGCGATGGGGGTTGAGGAAACAGAATGTAAAAATTAATGCGATGGGGGTTGAGGAAACAGAATGTAAAAATTAATGTGATGGGGGTTGAGGAAACAGAATGTAAAAATTAATGCGATGGGGGTTGAGGAAACAGAATGTAAAAATTAATGCGATGGGGGTTGAGGAAACAGAATGTAAAAATTAATGCGATGGGGGTTGAGGAAACAGAATGTAAAAATTAATGCGATGGGGGTTGAGGAAACAGAATGTAAAAATTAATGCGATGGGGGTTGAGGAAACAGAATGTAAAAATTGAATTGTACCCAGCTGGAGATGAAAAAAGGAAAATGTTAACACATGCATGTAAGGTTTAAAACAAGCACACATAACTAACTGCATAAGACATACACGGCTTTACATTTTAATTACATACTGATAATTTCACTAATTTTCACTGACTGATAGAGCCATTAATGAATTATTTCTATCCTATAGGGTCATGCAATGATCATTGAGAGATATCCTTCTTGAGATGTGTCTGCTGTCTAGTTGACTGCATTTTAAATTAATTGTGCAACCCGATTGATTGTTTTCATAATTTAACATTATTGAACATGAAAATAGATTTATTTATTACTTTGTTAATGTGAACAATTGACACATTTTTGCTGGTCAATTTACACACACTATCTAGCTAAAATATTTGATGCTACATTTTCTTGATGTTCTATGAATGAATGAGTTGACCTGTGAACAATTACACACACTATCTAGCTAAAATATTTGATGCTACATTTTCTTGATGTTCTATGAATGAATGAGTTGACCTGTGAACAATTACACACAATATCTAGCTAAAATATTTGATGCTACATTTTCTTGATGTTCTATGAATGAATGAGTTGACCTGTGAACAATTAACACACACTATCTAGCTAAAATATTTGATGCTACATTTTCTTGATGTTCTATGAATGAATGAGTTGACCTGTGAACAAATTTGTCTTTATCTCAGCTGTGTGCCACCAGTTGGTCTAAGCTTGATGATATATGTATATAGAGATTCATTTCATTGGGAAATTTATCTTCTGATTGCAATTTTTTGTTGTCATATGTCTATGTCAATTTTTCGTTGTCATATGTCTATGTGTCATTTTTTGTTGTCATATGTCTATGTGTCATTTTTTTTTGGCCATGTCATTAATTTATCATTGCATTATGTCATTAATTAACATTGCCATGTGTTATTATTCAACTGTTGCTTATGTCATTAGTCCATAATTGCTATATGTCATTGCCATGTGTTATTATTCAACTATTGCGTATGTCATTAGTCTATAATTGCCATATGTCATTGCCATGTGTTATTATTCAACTATTGCGTATGTCATTAGTTTATAATTGCGATATGTCATTGCCATGTGCCATTATTATAGTTCTGTTACAGGGTGTAACAATATTTCTGTTCTCATAATCCATCATCGCCATATGTCATTAATCTACTGTTGCCATGACCTATTGCCAACTGTGATTCCATATAATTATGATTCTACACAAAATGAACTTAATATTGAATAAATGAACCTTTTTTCTACTTTTTGTAGTTGAGTTGTATGGTGCTCATCCTTTAACTTTAATGTGTGAAACAGTTGTGTTTTGTTGAACTTAATGAAATGATGAGACCAGCCAACTTGACCCTGGCTAGAAATGTTCCTTGTGTTTACACAGGCACTTGTTGAAGGACATATCCAGTAGCTGATAGATAGGTTAAACACTGGAATACATTTTAAATTTCTGCTACATGTAAAGGGCTGCATGCAGTGTGGTGTTTGTCTGTAGTCAATGTATTCTCAGGCCTACTTCCCTTCTTACCTTTTTGTCACATTTGAGTGGGGGGGGGGGGGTAGGGTAGATCTAATTTATTAAGCATTATATGGTCTATTTGTTAAGCAGAGTGTTTAAAAATTCAAACACATCTCATACAATAGGCCTTCAATCATGTGTGTGGGCTGGGTGGTAAAATAATTCAAACATCTCATACAATAGGCCTTCTATCATAGGCTGGGTGGTAAAATAATTCAAACATCTCATACAATAGGCCTTCTATCATAGGCTGGGTGGTAAAATAATTCAAACATCTCATACAATAGGCCTTCTATCATGTGTGTGGGCTGGGTGGTAAATTAATTCAAACATCTCATACAATAGGCCTTCTATCATGTGTGTGGGCTGGGTGGTAAAATAATTCAAACATCTCATACAATAAGCCTTCTATCATGTGTGTGGGCTGGGTGGTAAAATAATTCAAACATCTCATACAATAGGCCTTCTATCATGGGCTGGGTGGTAAAATAATTCAAACATCTCATACAATAGGCCTTCTATCATAGGCTGGGTGGTAAAATAATTCAAACATCTCATACAATAGGCCTTCTATCGTGGGCTGGGTGGTAAAATAATTCAAACACATCTCATACAATCAGCCTTCTATCATGGGCTGGGTGGTAAAATAATTCAAACATCTCATACAATAGGCCTTCTATCCTGTGTGGGCTGGGTGGTAAAATAATTCAAACATCTCATACAATAGGCCTTCTATCATAGGCTGGGTGGTAAAATAATTCAAACATCTCATACAATAGGCCTTCTATCATAGGCTGGGTGGTAAAATAATTCAAACATCTCATACAATAGGCCTTCTATCATGTGTGTGGGCTGGGTGGTAAATTAATTCAAACATCTCATACAATAGGCCTTCTATCATAGGCTGGGTGGTAAAATAATTCAAACATCTCATACAATAGGCCTTCTATCATAGGCTGGGTGGTAAAATAATTCAAACATCTCATACAATAGGCCTTCTATCTTGTGTGTGGGCTGGGTGGTAAATTAATTCAAACATCTCATACAATAGGCCTTCTATCGTGGGCTGGGTGGTAAAATAATTCAAACATCTCATACAATAGGCCTTCTATCATAGGCTGGGTGGTAAATTAATTCAAACATCTCATACAATAGGCCTTCTATCATGGGCTGGGTGGTAAAATAATTCAAACATCTCATACAATAAGCCTTCTATCATGGGCTGGGTGGTAAAATAATTCAAACATCTCATACAATAAGCCTTTTATCGTGGGCTGGGTGGTAAAATAATTCAAACATCTCATACAATAAGCCTTCTATCATAGGCTGGGTGGTAAAATAATTCAAACATCTCATACAATAAGCCTTCTATCGTGGGCTGGGTGGTAAAATAATTCAAACATCTCATACAATAAGCCTTCTATCGTGAGCTGGGTGGTAAAATAATTCAAACATCTCATACAATAGGCCTTCTATCATAGGCTGGGTGGTAAAATAATTCAAACATCTCATACAATAGGCCTTCTATCATAGGCTGGGTGGTAAAATAATTCAAACATCTCATACAATAGGCCTTCTATCATAGGCTGGGTGGTAAAATAATTCAAACATCTCATACAATAAGCCTTCTATCATGTGCATGGGCTGGGTGGTAAAATAATTCAAACATCTCATACAATAAGCCTTTTATCGTGGGCTGGGTGGTAAAATAATTCAAACATCTCATACAATAAGCCTTCTATCATAGGCTGGGTGGTAAAATAATTCAAACATCTCATACAATAAGCCTTCTATCGTGGGCTGGGTGGTAAAATAATTCAAACATCTCATACAATAAGCCTTCTATCGTGAGCTGGGTGGTAAAATAATTCAAACATCTCATACAATAGGCCTTCTATCATAGGCTGGGTGGTAAAATAATTCAAATATCTCATACAATAGGCCTTCTATCATAGGCTGGGTGGTAAAATAATTCAAACATCTCATACAATAGGCCTTCTATCATAGGCTGGGTGGTAAAATAATTCAAACATCTCATACAATAGGCCTTCTATCATAGGCTGGGTGGTAAAATAATTCAAACATCTCATACAATAAGCCTTCTATCATGTGTGTGGGCTGGGTGGTAAAATAATTCAAACATCTCATACAATAAGCCTTTTATCGTGGGCTGGGTGGTAAAATAATTCAAACATCTCATACAATAAGCCTTCTATCATAGGCTGGGTGGTAAAATAATTCAAACATCTCATACAATAAGCCTTCTATCGTGGGCTGGGTGGTAAAATAATTCAAACATCTCATACAATAAGCCTTCTATCGTGAGCTGGGTGGTAAAATAATTCAAACATCTCATACAATAGGCCTTCTATCATAGGCTGGGTGGTAAAATAATTCAAACATCTCATACAATAGGCCTTCTATCATAGGCTGGGTGGTAAAATAATTCAAACATCTCATACAATAGGCCTTCTATCATAGGCTGGGTGGTAAAATAATTCAAACATCTCATACAATAAGCCTTCTATCATGTGTGTGGGCTGGGTGGTAAAATAATTCAAACATCTCATACAATAGGCCTTCTATGGAGGGCTGGGTGGTAAAATAATTCAAACATCTCATACAATAGGCCTTCTATCATGGGCTGGGTGGTAAAATAATTCAAACATCTCATACAATCAGCCTTCTATCATGGGCTGGGTGGTAAAATAATTCAAACATCTCATACAATAGGCCTTCTATCATGGGCTGGGTGGTAAAATAATTCAAACATCTCATACAATAGGCCTTCTATCATAGGCTGGGTGGTAAAATAATTCAAACATCTCATACAATAGGCCTTCTATCATAGGCTGGGTGGTAAAATAATTCAAACATCTCATACAATAGGCCTTCTATCGTAGGCTGGGTGGTAAAATAATTCAAACATCTCATACAATAGGCCTTTTATCGTGTGTGTGGGCTGGGTGGTAAAATAATTCAAACATCTCATACAATAGGCCTTCTATGGAGGGCTGGGTGGTAAAATAATTCAAACATCTCATACAATAGGCCTTCTATCATGGGCTGGGTGGTAAAATAATTCAAACATCTCATACAATCAGCCTTCTATCATGGGCTGGGTGGTAAAATAATTCAAACATCTCATACAATAGGCCTTCTATCATGGGCTGGGTGGTAAAATAATTCAAACATCTCATACAATAGGCCTTCTATCATGGGCTGGGTGGTAAAATAATTCAAACGAACGAAATGAAATTTATATAGAAAATATATACTTTTAACAGTATCCGCCCCCCCCCCCCCCGAAGAAAGTCTACGGCCCCCCCCCCCCCGAAAAAATGTCTGGAAGAAACACTGTTTAGGGGTCATCTATATACTACGTCACATTTTTCGAGGGGAGGGGGGGGGGGTCAGAAAATGTGACGTCACACTAGCAATTTTGAAATGTAATGGTAAAAGCTGAAGTCTTGCAACAATTACACTATTTTTAGAAGCTTTTCTAAAAGTTGTAATAGAAATGGATTAATATATGCCAAGTCAATGTGAGCAGCATAGTAGGACCTGAAACAATGAGAAAGAAATCAAGGTTTAAATAACGGAAACTGCAGTGTAGACTGAGGAGAAACTTCCTTTTAGAGGGGGGGGGGGGGGTGCGGTGGCTTTGTTTTAAAGATGTGTGACATAAGGGGAGGTAAAAGAAAAACGTGACGTCATTTGGCAGAAATTTGTGTTTTATTTTTTTAAAAACTTTTTTGTTGGAATTGATTTTTATTTTAAAAGCAATATTTGTTACAGGCCTATTGTCATATAGAGCTAATAAAATATTAACCACTTTGGAAATTGTTTACTCTTAAAGCCTAATTAGTCCAATCAATTAAGCCAGACTCGAGAAAAAACACATGCAGTATGATGATGCAGTCAGTCATAGAGTCTACGACAACAGAACAGATTTTTGTGATAAGACTGTCGTCGTAGATTAGACACATTAAAAAAAAAAAAGCTTTAATTATGGGATATGGATTATAACGTTCCCAACGCGCTCTGGCCCCTGTCGTATTGGCCTACGTGTTCATTTTAAAGCGTATGACAATATTAATAATAAATAGGATATTGCACACTTAAAGCCGTTAAAATTTTAAGAGTTGTGGCTCTTAAAGTGCTTTTTTCCAATTATTTTAGATCTAGTTTCATGCTTGTGCTTAATCAATCAACACCTTGAGATGTACAACAAAACACAACTGAAATATCTGAGTCGTATAATGTAGGCCTACACATTTTTTGACTGTTCTACAATGCGTTCCATCTCTTTGTAACATTGAAACTAATTTAATAGTTTGGATTTTTAATAAGCAGGGTCAGTGGGCCAATCGAGTCAAAAGATGATGAATACCCCTAGTAGGCCTAACATTTTCTGTGAAATTGTTAACTGGGAACTACTTTTCTAAGCGAAGTATCAAAAGCGGAACAAGAGCGTGACGTGCACGTGTCAACAAACAGCTGACAGCAAAATATAGCGCGCGCATGCGTAATGGAAGGAGAGAAACGGAAGAAGAAAAATTAATAAGTATGTGGGAGAACTAGATTTAATTTGTTCTAATTTTCTCCGTTTATTTTTCCCATGAAAAGATGGCGCCACTCCATCAGAGCTGGGGTTGACAAAGACGGATGGGTGTCGCCTGGGTCCCAAGTCCCAGGGGGGTAATCATGACCGGGGTGCCTCATTTGACT